CGCCTCGCTCCGATAAAGCCTTTTCTGGTCGACCTCGATTATTGGTCCTCCAGTTGACGGGCTTCTTGAGAGTCGCTGATTTCTGCCTTGACTTTTGCAGTCACTTTTGGATTCATCGTCTAGGCCGATTCTCATCTTCTTGATCTTGAATCTGACAGAGGCTGTGTGCTTGTAGCAATATCTTAGACCGCAGATGCCAAGGCGTGACTGGATCACAAGCAAGCGCTGCTACTGGGTTATTAGGCCCTGCACCGTAACTTTTTTCTATTTTTCTTCTTTTTCCGTGTTTGTTTTTTTGTTTTAGGGGAACAGCCCCCGTAGTCAGTGTTTTGTTCGCAGGGAATGCGAAGATCCCCAGAGACGGGTGATCAAACTATTTAATGGCTACGGCGATGTTGTATGTCAATTTAATCTGTACCTTAGTGTTTGTTAAGTTGAACGAAGAACTCTTTTATCGCCGATGTCAGAACTTGAATTTTGGCCCTCCGCTCAATTTTTTATGTTTATGCCGACAATTGATCTATCAAGACGATTAACACAATGAACTTTGACAGAGATAAGCCTGAAACGTTACATGCTTTTATTAGTTCTGCACAATGCATGTCCTATAGTATAAAATCAACAATTCTGCGAAATCCGCTGTCTTCTAACCACTTCTGGAGTCGGATAACGACCGATACCATATCAGCGCAACTAAATTTTTATTATGTTACCAGATCATGGCAGAAGAATACAGGTAGATGCATCAACACTTGGGAGCATTGATATGTCAAAAAAAATTATGTTTTCTTCTACTACGTCAGTCGGAGGCTATTACAATTCGCGTTTTTCAACAATTTTAACAAATTTAAATAATTTTTCATTAAAAATTTTCAATTTCAAAATTGGTTTGACAGTTCATTGTCCCAGCAGCTGTGTTAAGGCGTCTACCTATATTATTCTACCATGTACCAGATCAACACTATATCACTATATTAGAACATCAGAGTCGCATTTGGAGTAAGAAGGGTTTAATTAATAAAGCATTGTTCACATTACAACACAAAATCATAATTTAGTGTCACAACTTGTTAAATCGAATCGGTTCAACCACAGTAGAACTAGGAAGGTATAGTCATGACATCATATGTTAACAATTTTTCAAAATTTATACATTTGACAACATCTCATTGTCAAATCAATATTCATAAATTCATTGTATACACGCAAAATCAGAGATGGGAACTGAAGAACAGAAAATGCGGAGCTGGGAATGTTAATTTGAAATGAGGTTACCTATATTTCATTGTACCCATGGTAGAACTAAGAAGGTAAAGTCATGTAATCATATGTTTACAATTTTTTCAAAATAATACCTTTGGCAACATCTTATTGTCAAAATTTTCATTCATAAATCCATTGTATACACACAAAATCAGAAATGGGAACTGTTTTTTATGCATTGAAAATTGACAAGGTAAATTACAGAAAATGCAGAGTTGGGAATGCTAATTTGAAATGAGGTTACCTTTATTTCATTGTACCATGTGTTCAAGAGTTTCTATAGACTACGGTTTGGTTCATAGATCAGTTCTTTTTAAGAAAAAATTGTTTCGTTCAGAACCAGTTAGCAGCCCTGATATACATATCTCTTAAAAATGCTCACATATACCCGTAAGTACCTGCTGCCCAGGTAACAAAAAGTTGTAGGCAAATATTATGATGTATGAATGGCTTAGTCTACATTCAGTGGAGTACTAAATGTATTGGAAGTTTCTCTTTTCCAAACTTAGATAAGTTATGCTACTGAAGAAGAAAGATACTAGTCGGCATGGAAATGACGTATTTGGGTTATATGGACTTACAAAACATTTTACCACAGTGGGGAAGTTGAATATTTGGGTATTCTGTATTACCCATGATATTACCAAAATACGTCAGGTACATATATTTAAATCTACCAACAAATAACGTTGTAAAAATTGATCATTTCCAAAATTCTCCTAGTTATTGTATTTTCCAACTACAAATTTTCACATTTTTTGTATTATTTTTTTTCTATTTTCAAGACACATCTGAAGAAATTTTTCAATTGTCAAAGATGAAATTGTTCAACTTTAAAAGCCGTACCTGAAATTCGACGGAGTGTACACAAATATTCAACTTTCCCACTATGGTAAAATGTTTTGAACGTCCGTATTACCTAAATACGCCATTTTATATCATGGTCAAATAATCATACCCATCTCCGCATTTTCTATAATTTAACTTGTCACATTTTACTATATAAAAACAGGTTCCCATCTCTGATTTGTGTATGCAAAATGGATTTAAAAGTATACACTTTGACAATGAGATGTTGGCAAATGAATAATTTTGAAAAAATTGTAAACATATGATTGCATGACTTAACCTCCTTGATTCTACCATTGTCTTTATCATAAAACCTACCAACAATTAACGTTTTAAAATTTGATAATTATCAAAATTCCCCTAATTGTTATATTTTCTACACACAAAATTGTTCAATTTTCAATGTTGAAATTGTTCAACTTTGAAATTTCGTACGGTTGACTCATTTCAATTCGGAAGTCAGACGGATAAATATTTTCAACGTTGCCAAATGTAAATAATTGTGGAAATAATACTAAAATGATTGGAAAATGATAGGTGAGTTCCAATATAAAAAAGTATTGCTATCCTGAATTGGCAAATGATATTACCTCTTTAATTCTGCTAATTGTACGGTTATTACAATATGGCAGCAAAACCCAGCTGAATTGACGAAGCAAATTATTAACAAAGTGTTGGCACATTATTTTTTCTTGAAAACCAGTCAAAGACCTAAAATGGTTAAGACAGGACAAAATGCAGTTTGAGCAATTGGTTTCTGTCTACAATACACAGAGTAACAGCTCATGACAGAGGAATGTTAATTTAAAAACCACAATTACAGAAAAAAATGACTAATAAAAGTTTGGAAAATCAAAAATGCGGTTTCAATTTTCTATTCACAGATCTTTCCCAAGTTTTTGCACATTGTTGTTATTATTTGTTGTTGTTATTTTCACAAGGTAGTCATATTTCGATTCTGTTTATCCTATCTTAATTCTTTTATGGCCCCTATTTATATATTTTATAGTTTTTTATAGTTCGGTTTTTATCCCTTACTTTACTTATATTTACATAACCGGGTTTTCATTATTACATCTTTCCTTAAAAAAAAAAATAATTTTATCACAGATATGTCATCTTCAATAAACAAAACTAATTTGCAATTAGTTTCGTGAAGTAAATCTTTAATTCAGTTCTTTAATATAAAATATATTATTTGCGTTATCCATTTTTTATTCGAATACTTTTTGCTGTTATTGCCATATTAACAATATCAAATATGGCAACATGAATTCAATACACTTTACGTTAAAAGATAAAGGGGAGATGGTGACCCATGGCACAATTACAGAAGGTAGAACAAAGTTACCCGCCAAATACAATTTTTTCGTTTGGTGCCCTTATTCTGTCAAAACATATAAACATATTGTGTATGTGTGTGTACATGGTAGGATAATACAGGTAACAGCAAGTGTTGTTGTACAACAATCGTAACAACAGCCACATACAAATTTGTTTTTGTAAGTAATGCAAATGCCAGAGTTATGTGTCCAAAAATGTAAACAAAATAATTAATTTTCATAAAATTAGTTTAATTTTAAAAAAAATACATTTTTGGAATATGGATTATTAAATTGAAAATGCAGAAGAATACTTCTTAAAATATTTAATGCTTTCACATCATTCCCCTGAATGTATAGTTGTTAGCTGTTAGTCCTAATCTCTCAACACTACCTTTCAAGTTGAAACCAAACAGCATACATACATAAAGTATTCTACATTTTACAATTTTAGGAAACATGAAATATACGAATATATTATCTAACGTGGAGTCGCTGTTCCTTAACCGCAAAAAAATTCCGAACCATCGCCTTTGTCGTTTTGTTAAGTACAACGGCGGTTTTGTTTTTATTATTAGGCAAAAAATATGTTCACTTTGCCCTGCAGTGAAATTTTATATCAAAAAGGGTATATCAAGAAATGGAATTAAATCACAAAACGTCATATCTAGTTTGACACTAGTATTACTATAGAGTCAAATCAGCTGGGACTTGCTGTTACCTGTAATAATTATACCATGGTGTGTGTATTGCTTTGAATAAAAAATAAATGCAAATTTTCGACGTAAATAGATAACAAATTGTACAATTTTGTGATCAAACTGTATTATCCTATTTTTTAGATTCTATCTTGTGGAATAACCCCGAAATTCCATTCCTGTTTCGCGGGGTTTTCCCAATATAATAATGTTTTTAAAAATAAAAATAAACAAAGCCTACTGTTGCATATTTAAAAAACTATTTGACACAAGAGTTGCATTTTTATAGTTTATTTGAAGTTCAGCAACCTTTCTTATTGAGCCATGGTCTGACCCATGGCTCAATAGGGGGTAGTTTTGTTCTACATTCTGTAATTATGCCTTTTGCATATTAGACAGTTCATATTTAAATGAAACTTCCAATAACGAAAAACGATTTATTTGTCCGACAACATCATTTTGTTATTTATCGGAAATATGTAATAACCACCCATATGGAATTTTCCAAAATGTTCCAAAATGGGGTAGGTCAAGGGGTAAGAATGATCTCTTTTTTTCAGTATAGTGATCATTAGATTGCGCCTCAATTAAAAATTAACAAAATTAATTTTCGTTCGGAATCTGAAAAAGCCAAAACAAAAACAAATTGAATTATGGAATTCAAATCATTCAGATTCGTGACATTTTGTGAAATGTCTGATAAAAGGTTTCGTTTGTTGTACAAATCAGTGGCCTGGTTGATATCTGTGGATAAAACTGCAAAAAAGTGTTTATTTTCGCCCAGTTCTACAATGTATGTATTCAGACTGCGATACGCAATTTAAAAAGTAGCCCAAATAAGCAATTCTTCCAGAAAAACAAAACATGATTTTTATCTTTTTATATAATTTTTATTGTATATGCACTTTTTGGATCATAATATTATTTAAAATGTTCATACAGTTTTCGTTTGTACAATTGTAAGTAAATAAAAAAATTGTAAAATAAATAGAAGACAATAAATGGTTGTTATAATTTTGTATTCCTTTTCACAGTGTGTTTAAACAATGGTTTATGCAATTCTTCCAAAATGAGATTATTTATGAAAAATGTACTGAAACTTAATTCAAATGATCGAATTTACATTTCATTTGCACAATAACTTTAACATACACAATTATATAAACTTAAGCCAAATATCATACATGAATGTATGTAATTATTCACCTAATATATATATATATATATATATATATATATATATATATTACATATGCGCACAGACTTATTCTACTACTTATCAAGAAGACTTTTATTACTAAATGGATGGCAGAATATCATCATGAGCTACCACTATTTTCCATTGCACTATTTTATAGTTGAAGAATGTTTTCAGCTTTCCCAAGCTTCATCTCGTTGTTTGGCAGCAAGTAATTTACGTTCTGAAATGAATAAAAGTTATTTGAGCATAAAAATAATAAAATGTATTCCTCAGAAAATAAATGTTTCTTTTCCTATGACAATTTTTTGTACCTTAAACGTGACATGGTGTATTCATATCTTTTATTTGGAATATGAGAAGATAATAATTTATTGTTATTAAAATCAAGAGTGATATTTTAAAGTATTTGGTTTTGATGTTTCAAATTCATTTATTACTCATATGTAAAGTTTCAATCTCGAGCACCAAAAGGGCCCGCAATGAATAACATCATTAAAACCAGTTGGCTTATAAAATAAGTTAACGATATATTGGAATGCATGTTTATTATGGCAAATATAATTTCGGAAGAAGGGCTAGAGTGTCTTATGTACATTTTTACAAGCAATGCTATGTTCTTTCTCATTAAGTACACCACCTAACCCGTTTTACGCCACGATTTGTAGTTCATAGTAACATAATTGCTTTTTTTTTAAATGTTTCTTTGTTGATTTTAATTGGAATTTGTATGAAACATATGAAATTCGCATTAATATGAATAGAAGAAATTATTGCTTTTCCTCTAAATAGCTATTTTATCATTATTTTACAATATTTATTCATGTTTTGACCCTTTTCTGTATATATTGACGTTTTGAATATATTTTTGTGTGTTGTCTGTTTTTTAAAAGGTTTATTTTGCTCACCCAGTTTGTTTTTATACCCTACAACACTATGTGTTGGGGGTATTATAAGTTTGATTGGGCCAAAAATTATGTAACACCTCGAAATATTGATTTCCCACATAGGAAATTACATATGGATCTTCCTAGCTCGCCGAGCTGAATCAGTCTAGCTATGTATGTCCGTTCGCCCGTCTGTCCATGTTAATTTGTAAATGCTCTACAGGTCGTAATTATGGCCCAATCCTCACGAAATTGAAAATGGAGGTGGGGTTAGGGCCAGAATAGAACCCTATTGTTTTTGGAGATGATCGTATAATATTTAGGGGTTGAAATGGACCAAAAACTGAAAAATTTCCTGATTTTGCAGTTGCTCTACAGGTCGCATTTATAGACCGATCGAGGCGGGAGTTAGCACGGCGCTAAGGCTTAGGGCTGGGCAGAAGCCTTCCAATTTTGATGGTCATCGGGTAATATTTAGTGGGTGAAATAGACCATAACATTTGTGTTAAATAAAAGTAAAATTTTCGATTAAACCGCGAATATTTTTAATCCCGAAGAAATAACAAATAGACGAACTGGTCAATTCTGACCGTTACGTAGATGCCGATAGTAAATATGTCGGATGTATATAGCGAAATATGTACAATGTGTATATACAACGGGAGGGGATGTTAGCTAGAATGCTTATATCTCAAGAATGGCTGGACCGATTTTGACAAATGTCAATTCAGAATGCCCTCTTTGCATAAAAGTATAAAATCTAAAAAAAATGCAAAAAAGACGCCTGTGATGATGTTAATATAGATTTTGTAGTATTTTGTGACATTTTTTTTATTTTTTCATATTTTTTATCGCATGCGATTTTTTCAATTTGACTTATAATATTGAAGTGTATATTTAGTAATATTTTTTCACCTTACAACACAAGTTGGGGATATTATATACAGATTGCAATTATCGTCCGATCCTCACGAAACGGGTAGGGTTAGGCTCAGAAGGGCTAGGCCTATTGTTTTCAAAGATGTCTGCAATATATTTAGGGGCTGAAATGGAACAACAACTAAAAATGTTCCTGATTTTGCAGCCGTTATAAAGGTCATAAATAGAAACCAAAGGACACGAAAACTCGCATGAAGTTAGAGTTTAGGACAGCGGGTAAAATGGACAACTATTTCTCTCTGAAAAATACCAACATTACTTACTTAGGCGATATCCTAAATACACAGAAGGCGAACTTCTGGCTTTCCATGCGGATTTCGTTGACGAATATAACCAAATATCGTAGACAAGAAAATCATATAGATGAGTCTAAATTTGGAAATACAGAGGGACCTCCTGCTTTTAGAGATGATCGCAAAATATTAGGGGTTCAAATGAATCACACAATTAAAGCCATTCGACACGCCTGAGAAGAGCGTTAAGGACAGGGAAGAATTCCAGCATTTTGGATGACCATTGGATTATATTTAGCTGTAAAATGGACCACAATAACTAACAGCCGACGGAGTGCGTAAATATTGGGCAAATGTCCCTGGTCAAAATGCGGAGGGTAATATCTGGGATTTGGACATAAGGGGGCTTCTAACATATTGTAGTGTTGTAGGGTATCACATGGTCGGCCCCGCACGACTATAGCCTTTGCTTACTTGTTTTATTTATTATTTATTCTTGGTTCAGATTTAGTAATTCAAATTTCACCATCTTCCTGACAACCGATTAATCTGAAATTTTGTATACACTTTGGATTTTGATAACACTACAATTATGTTTATTCATTATCATTACAAATCCAAGATGGCGGCCGCTACAAAATGGCGGATAACGTAGGTTTTATCAATCCCATCAATATGGGTATCAAATGAAAGGGCTCAAAAAGCAGAATACAATATAATATAAAAAATTGAAATCCAAGATGGCGGCCGCTACCAAATTGGCGGATAACGTAGGTTTTATCAATCTTATCAATATGGGTATCAAATGAATGGACTTAACAAGCAGAATACAATATACTATAAAAATTGAAATCCAAGATGGCGGCCGCTACCAAATGTCTGATAACAATTTTTTATCAATTCCACCAATATGGGTATCAGCAAAAGGGCATGACAAGAAGAATACATTATACTATACAAGTTCAATATTTAAGATGGCGCAGCCACTAAATGGCGCGTAATAATAAGATTTAAATTTAGAAATTGCATCTGTAATTCTGGTATCTGATTAATCCAGCCTTCAAGTCAAGATTTTGTATCGTGTTAAGGATTGTGTGGCGTTAGGGTGGTTAAAATTGTCAACCGTTTAAATGTCAATTACTCGTGGGAACAAAATGGTACAAAAATATAAAATATGAATTAAACAGAATGCGAAACAAAAACTAGAAAATAAAAAATAGGTAAAAAACTTTTTATGTTAAAAGTTTTTATGTTAAACATACATTGCAATGTTTAAGATAAATGTACTAAAAACCAAAAAATAATAAAAAATAGATACAGTCGTGGGAATTATAAACATATGCATAGACTTGACTAAAATAAAACCGAGGGGCACTTCAATTGCGTATGTTTTATTTTAGTCAAGTCTATGCGTACGTTTATAATTCCCACGACTGTATCTATTTTTTATTATTTTTTGGTTTTTAGTACATTTATCTTAAACATTGCGATGTATTTATACCCTACAACACTATGTGTTGGGGTTATTATAAGTTTGATTGGGCCAGAATTTATGTAACACCTCGAAATATTGGTTTCCCATATAGGAAAGTATATATGGATCTTCCTAGCTCGCCGAGCTGAGTCGATCTAGCTATGTATGTCCGTCCGTCCGTCTGTCCATGTTAATTTGTAATCACTCTACAGGTCGCAATTATGGCCCGATCCTTACGAAATTTTGCACGAAGGTGGGGTTAGGGTCAGAATAGAAGCCTTTTGGAGATGATCGCCAAATGTTTAGGGTTTGAAATGGACCAAATACTGAAAAAATGTCGGATTTTGCAGTAGCTATACAGGTCGCAATTATAGACCAATCGACGCGGAATTTCGCATGTAGCTAGAGTTTAGGGCGGGGAAGAAGCCTACCAATTTTGGTATAAATAAATAAAAAATAATATTGAGCGGGTAAAATAGACCATATATTTTGTGTTGAAAAAATTCAACATTTTTCATTAAACCGTGAATATTTTAAATCCCGTCGAAATCACAAAGCCATGACAAGGTTACTTCTGACCTTTACATTGATGTTAACATCCAACAAATCGGATATATGTGCGATATATATGTCTATCAAAGAAGATATGCTTGAAAGATCTCTTATATGTCGAGAACGGCTGAACTGATTTCGACAGTTCTCATTAATTCAGAATGGCCTCTTGTTAGGAAAGAAAAAGCGTCTAAAAAATCGCATAAAAATATCTCTCTAAAGATGAAAATATTGGATTTGTAACATTTTCTCATATTTTTTTTCAATTTTGTCATATTTTTGGCATATTTTCATTTTGAATTAAACATTTGGTAATATTTCTACAGCTCACAAAACTAAGTAGTTAGGATATCAGGATATCATATATAGATCGCATTTATGGTCCGATTCTTACGAAATTTTGCATGGGGAGAAGATGAGGGTCAGAATAGATGCCTACTCTTTTTGGAGATGATCGTTGTATATTTAGGGGTTGAAATGGACCAAAAAACTGCAAAATTGTCAGCAGGTCGTAATTATCGCCCGATCCTCACGCACATTTGAATAGGGGTTACCGCACATTGCAAAAGCCAAGCAGTTTTGGATGGCCATCCAAAAATATTCAATGTGTGAAATAGTTTGCCAACTTTTGTAGACAAAATACGAAAATGTCGATTCCAGTGACTTTTTGGAAAATTCACAAATACAGGAAAGACGCACTTCTGACTATTTCGTTGTAGAGTGTAGTCAAATGTCTGTATCTCATATAGATGCGTTTCAGTCAAAAACCAATAATAAATGTTAATCTTTTGCCACTTCTGAGAGATTATAGGTCTTTGGGAAATATTGGTTCCAGATCTAGGAAGACCATTTACGTGCAACATCTAACAATAAATTGGAAATGAGCAAATTCGTTTAAGTTGTTATTATTCGAAAATTAGAGAACGAAACATGATGGTTTTCTTTTATTATTTGTCACAATATCTTGTGGAATTATTTCGAGTATCTCGCCTATATAAACTGTATGGTTTATTATAGTGTTGTAGGGTATTCAACGGTCGGCCCCGCTCGACTGTAGCCTTTGCTTACTTGTTTTAACATAAAACCTTTTACTTAAAAAGTTTTTTACCTATTTTTATTATTTTTGCTGGAGAGAAACTTGTCAATCTTTTTTTGTCGATGCAAAATTTTTGAAAAAAGTGCCTCTTTTGTTTTTAGTTTTCTGTCGAAATTCCAACTCGTGAACAAAAAGCGTATCTCGGAGGAGAGAGACAGCAAAATTTACTTTCGTTTGAATGCACATACGCCATTCAACATTATATCTTCATTTATAATTTTCAGTCTTTCTGAACATTTTTAAAATTTTTCTATTTGAATTTTGAAATGCCATAATTTATTTTATCGATAAATGCTCTCATTTGTTGGGGATGGCACGCAATCAATCTAATTTCTGAGAGTGATTTGAATGGAATGAAGAACAAAAATCTTTTGCTTAGTGATTGCACACATTTCATGGTAGTTCTGAGAGTGATTTGAATGGAACAAAGAACAATAATCTTTCTTCGCCCCGACAATTCATGGTAGAGATTTCCTTGAACCGAACTAGCAAAAAATTACGCTACTATTTTGGCCAACATTTTATGTGCATGTTAACATGTTTTTAATGCTATGTTCTCATCGCACTTTCAATCACATACGCCATTCAACATAGTAGTTTTCATTCATAATTTCCAGTTTTCCCGAAAATTTTTAAAATTTCATTAAATTCTTCAATTTTTAAATGTCATAATATATTTTTTCGATAAATGCTCTCATTTGTTGGGGATGGCACGCAATCAATCTCATTTCTGAGAGTGATTTGAATGGAATGAAGAACAAAAATCTTTTGCTCTGTTCCAGAACCTGCAAGACTCTACTAGTTTTGCAATTTTTGCCGATAACATAAAGGGAAAATTAGCTATCGTAGCTAAAACTTTTACATTTTTGCAGTTCTGGTACAGACCATTTGTTCGCTCAGCAAATTTTGTGTGGGGAATTAAGTAGATATTTCTTAATTAATGGTCGATCAGGGAATAGAGAGCAAATCACGAGCCATGTGAACTTAGCATAAGAAATCCCAAAGATAGATAATAAATCAATTTGCCCTTCAAAATGTTTAGATACGCAGACGACGGGATGTAAGCTAGTTTTAGATTTAGATATCGAAATACAAAAGGAAAACGCACCTTTGGCTTCGCGCAAAACGCGTTTTTCATTTTCTCTCTCAGCAGCGGCAGTTTTAAGTCTTACTCCTAAGGCCCCGGTTACTAAACGTCGGGCTAGTGCTGCACATGTTTCGGGGCGGGGGCGATATGGCTGTAATGATGCGGCACATTTCTTAGCCTTTACACGAGATTCAAGTGTTGCCTCAGCCAATGGCTTTAACACCACAAAAGGGTGTCCCATGGTAAGGACTTCGGCAGCTAAAAAATTGATAAAACGTTACTCATACGTTACAAAAAAAAAATAGCTCAATTTTATTTAATTCCAACATACCAATGCGAGAACTACTAAACACAGCCAAGGCATGTGTGTCATCGACCCACTTGATGTCAAACCCAGATTCCTTGTATTGAGAGAAAATCATCAACAAGTCCTGATTTTTAAATTCCACTGGAAAATTGGACACCTCCAAAACGTGTGGGAATTCCTCGTCATTCAATATAGATTGTTTGGTTAAAAAGGCCTAAATAAAAAAGATGCAAAGCCAGTTAACTAACAATGTCGTACAAAGGTGATAAAAGTTCGAAAGTGATTTACGCTGTAATCCATTTTTGGCAATTCAATTTTACACTTGCCCACCGATGCCGTCAGTTCTTGCATGATTTTTGGATCTAGGCATTCGCCATTTTCATCGTACATTTTTTCCCAGTCATCTTCTTCATCGTCTTCTTCGGAATTACTCTCAGCTAACTGCTTCTTTGGCGTTGTTACAGTTTTCTTGGCTGCTGTCGATATAGTTTTTGTTTTCAATTCGTCATCATCTTCGGCAATATGATCGGGAATTTGTAGAACGTCCGAGACAAATGTTTGTTTCATAATACGACGGTTGCTACGATTGATTTCCTGGAAATATAAGAATGGGTACTTAGTTTTCGTTTCATAGTGCAATAAAATATTTATATTTAATGAAATATAAGAATAATATTTAATTTTAAATTTTTTACACAAAATTTAGACTTAAATTGGAACTAACTTCAACTTTCCCACTATGGGAATCATTTTTGAGGTGGACATTTTTTCGTTACGTGGACTCACTGTTTTCGACACTATTATTACTTTTGTATAGACTACATTATACAACACATTAAATAATTACAAGAAAAACTTAAATAATTATGAAAGAAAATTTGTAAATAGAAGGGATGATTATTAAGATTCCTTGGTATCGTTGCATTTTATATATTTTACATATTTTGGTCGAAGATTTGATCTTTTAAAACAAATTTAAACTCCTTTTATAAAAAGTTGTACTGTTTTGTTTCCAATATTGCTTTCTTGTTTCCACTCATCTACCCAAACAGTACTAAATAAAAAAACTAGTCCCCTTATTTTAATATCGGGTTTGTTTGGAGAAACGATTGCAAAACTTTCATATAGTTTACTTTCGTTCGCTGAATTTAAAACGTTCCATTTGAAGTCAAAATATCTATTTTCAGTAAAAGCGCGAAATATCTAGATCACCTTTGCCGAATTGGCTGCAAATATGGATTTGATAGGACTAGGGTTGTGGATGAACGCAGCAATAGAGTTTCGGGCTCGAGGGCAAACTCTTTTATTGATCAAAAAAATTTAAAATGTTATCTCGTTCTTTTGGCAACATTGATCGAAAATTTTTCTTGATTTACAATCGAAATAGAGATTTCTTTTCCTGGGACACTCATAAATGAACTTTGATGAAGAATATTCTTTGACATCATCATAAAATTGTGATTTGTAGAAGAATTTTATGTGGAGTGTAATCGTAGTGAGTTGATGAATGTACTCTGCTGAATGACGCAACATTGAAAACAAGACATTATAGTACTCATTGCAAACATTCAATTTCATATTAGCTCATTGCAAATAATGTTAAAACTAATATTAAGTTAGAATTCACGACTTTTGTCCATATATTATAACCATCATATAATGGAAAAGGATAAAAAAAGTATTTAGACTGACAACTCTAAATGTACCAGTAAACATTTCGTACAGTAAACGTTTGGAAACTTTTCATGGCGATTCGTTCGCAAACGATACAACTCGGCAACTTACAGCCAAAGTACATTAATACAATCGTATTGTTTGTGTACTTCTATCATTGAAATGAGAGAACAAACGATTGAAAAACATTTAATAATAGCGGTAACTGCATCAGTATGAATACTAAAGGCTAACACAAGACATCTTGTATAAATTATGCTTTTTTCGACACACTGACTTGGTCTACTCAATCATGTCAAAGACCTAAAATGGTAAAGACTAGACAAAATGCATTTTGAGCAAATGGTTTGTGTCTACAATGCAAAGAGTAACAGCTCATGGCAGAGACATGTTAACCACAATTACAAAATAAATAATAAAAATTTGAACAAGTAAGCAAAGGCTACAGTCGAGCGGGGCCGACCGTTGAATACCCTACAACACTATAATAAATAATACAGTTTATATAGGCGAGATACTCGAAAGAATTCCACAAGATATTGTGACAAATAATAAAAGAAAACCATCAGGTTTCGTTCTCTAATTTTCGAATAATAGCAACTTAAACTAATTTGCTCATTTCCAATTTATTGGTAGATGTTGCACGTAAATGGTCTTCCTAGATCTGGAACCAATATTTCCCAAAGACCTATAATCTCTCAGAAGTGGCAAAAGATTAATTTTTATTATTGGTTTTTGACTAAAACGCATCTATATGAGATACAGACATTTTACTATATTTTGTCTACAAAAGTTGGCAAACTATTTCACACATTGAATATTTTTGGATGGCCATCCAAAACTATTTGGCTTTTGCAATGTCCGGTAACCTCCATTCAAATGCGCGTGAGGATCGGGCGATAATTACGACTTGCTGACAATTTTTCAGTTTCTTTTGTCCATTTCAACCCCTAACTATATGGCGATTATCTCCAAAAAGAGTAGGCTTCTATTCTGACCCTCATCTTATCCCCATGCAAAATTTCATAAGGATCGGGCCATAAATGCTATCTGTATATGATATCCTGACATCCTAACTACTTAGTTTTGTTAGCTGTAGAAATATTACCAAATGTTTAATTCAAAATGAAAATATGCCAAAATATGACAAAATTGAAAAAATATGAGAAAATATTACAAAATCAATATTTTCATCTTTAGAGAGATATTTTTATGCAATTTTTTTGGACGTTTTTTCTTTCCTGCCAAGAGGCCATTTTGAATTAATGAGAACTGTCGAAATCAGTTCAGCCGTTCTCGACATATAAGAGATCTTTCAAGCATATCTTCTTTGATAGACATATATATTGCTCATATTTTGCTATATATCCGATTTGATGGATGTTAACATCAATGTAAAGATCAGAAGTAACCTTGTCATGGCTTTGTGATTTAGCCGGGATTTAAAATATTCGCGGCTTAATGAAAAATTTTGAATTTTTTCAACACAAAAGATATGGTCTATTTTACCCGCTAAATATTATCCGATGACCACCCAAATTAGTAGGCTTCTTCCCCGCCCTAAACTCTAGCTACATGCGAAATTCCGCGTCGATTGGTCTACAATTGCGACCTGTATAGCTACTGCAAAATCCGACATTTTTTCAGTATTTGGTCCATTTCAACCCTTAAACATTTGGCGATCATCTCCAAAAGAAATAGGCTTCTATTCTGACTCTAACCCCACCTTCGTGAAAAATTTCGTAAGGATCGGGCCATAATTGCGACCTGTAGCGTGATTACAAATTAACATGGACAGACGGACAGACGGACGGACGGACATACATAGCTAGATCGACTCAGCTCGGCGAGCTAGGAAGATCCATATATACTTTCCTATATGGGAAACCAATATTTCGAGGTGTTACATAAATTCTGGCCCAATCAAACTTATAATACCCCCAATATATGAGTCAGTCGTCCGACCAATCCTTACCTATGGCGGACTTGTGTGGTGGCATTCCTTAGGGAAAATCACCTTCAGCAAGAATATTGACAAAGTACAAAGAGTCGCATCGCTACTAATTACAGGAGCGGTCAGGAGCACGCCACAATCCGCTCTAGACACCCTACTCAACTTAAAGCCTCTAGGCTTATTTGTAGAGGAACTAGCTGCTAGGTGTGCCCTGCGACTCAACGAATTGGGACAATGGCGGAGTCAACCCTTCGGGCACTCTGTCATTCTTAAGTATGTGGAAAACGTAAGTAATCAGGCTATAGCTAGTGACTATATACTCCCTAGGCACAGCTTTGATCTACTTGACATCCGCATACCAAACAGGGATATCTGGTCCCGTGGCACGCCACCTTTCGACGGTATAGCTGTCTATACTGATGGTTCAAAGATGGAAAGTGGAACGGGTGCTGGAGTCTACTGTGAAAGCCTAAGTATCCGAAGATCCTTCAGGCTAAACAGCGATTGCAGCGTTTTTCAGGCAGAAATATTTGCTGTCAGAATGGCCATAGAACTGCTGAATAATAGAATTAACGAACTGGATGGACCGGTGACTATATATATCGATAGTCAAGCGGCCCTAAAAGCTCTAAATTCTTTCACAATCAAGTCTATGGCTGTTCTGGAGTGCAAGAATGCTCTGGAAAAGTTTAAGTCAGTTGTCAAGCTCTGTTGGGTCCCTGGACACTGCAACATATCTGGCAATGAATCTGCCGATGAATTGGCCAGACGCGGATCTGAGTCAGTAGATCTAGAGATCGAGAGCTCAGTGAAGCCACCTTTATGCCACTTCTTTCAAGTTCTGCATAAACACTATCTTGGAAGATTTCAACAGAACTGGCTATCTGGAAGGGGATGCATCATCTCCAAAAAGATTTGGCCGGTGAACTCCGAACGGAGATCACGGTCACTCTTGTCCATGACGAAGTTGGACTTGAAGCTTGTGGTGGGCCTAATTACAGGTCATTGCAACATAAAGGCCATGACTTCAAAATGGGGGGGTGACGACACTGAATACTGCAGGCTATGTCAGGACGAGGAAGAAACAGAAACGGTGGAACACTTACTCTGTCATTGTCCTACCCTTATCGGAGTAAGACATAGGCTTCTGGGTAAGCACTTACTGCCTGACCTGTCATGCCTCTCCGAAACAGAACCAGCAGTCATTCTTCAATTAGCCAGAAGACTAAAATGGCTAAGGACGACACGCTGATTACACCGTGGACGCAAACCCACTAGCTCTTCTAATTCTTCTAAATCTTATTTTCTACACTAACTATCTTTCTTACCTCACTTCCACTTTTTTCTAGACTAGGATGATCACAATGGGCCAGTAGGTCTCCGAGTGGAGTGGTTGTTGTTTTTACACAGCCACACATCCTTTAACCTAACCTAACCTAACCTAAGATATCATGACAACAGAGTTATTTTCAAAGGGTTGCCATATTTTACTCTGTCTTGTCCTATCTTTATACTTCTATGTCTTTGATCATGTGCCATGTATTTGATAGCAACGGCAACCAACAACATCCCCCATTTTGATTCATGAGCGCCATTGTCTAAGGATCGATCATGGCTGACAAAGTAAAGTGCAATACAAAGTAATAATAAAAAGTGTCGAATATTCGACAATAAAAAGAGTACCAAAAAATGTAGTTTTTAATATATTTCTATATATATGTATAAAGGATGGAAAATGTATAGTTTTAAAAGATGCAGTGGTTTACAGCAGCTGCAAAATATATACAAATGTAACAGAAATTGTGCATCAATTTTTTGAGAGATCATTGCTCCAAATATATAAAAAGATAAGGAAACTTATAATGTTGAAATTAAACCTGATAACGAGGTAAAGAAGAAATGCTTACAATTAGTGGTCCAGTGGCTTGTGGGCAATTGTAGGCCATTTAATATTGTAAACGATGAA